TGTGTGTGTGTGTGTGTGTGTGTGTGTGTGTGTGTGTGTGTGTGTGTTCGTTCTCACTCTGTTTCCAGGGAACTCTTTACATGCTCATATATTTAAATTCAGGACAGCTGATGCTGAGTGAGCGTGCATGAGTTCAGCACTGTTTGTGTGTCCCTCAAAGAGATTTATTGAATGTATTCACAGGATGTAGCTTTATTTCCTAGCTGTCTTTGTGGAGGTCCATCTTTCTTTCTTTGGGAGGTTTTCAACACCTGTAAGAGTGAAGGACGACCTCTTCCTTCAGCAGTTTTCCTCCCAACTTTTTTTTTGTGCATCTGTTAACTCTCTCCTTTGGCGTCAACCAACATATCATCCAGAAAAATGGAGCTATGTTTTTATCTTTGAGGTGTGCAAACTTCTTTTGACTTTGATGACCTTTGAAGAGAAGAAGAGAAAGGAAGTCAAATCATGATACAGCACATTACTGTGTCAAGTCTTTTACTCTCTGTTTCTATTTATGTGTGCTTGTGTGACTTTTCTGGCTCTGGTATGCCACCTCAGGAAATCAAGACTGACACCTAGGTCACTTCATGTGTCTGCGCGTTTATGTGTTGGTGTGTTTGTTTGTCTGTATCTCAGTGGGTATGTGTTCTCTGCTCTCTCCTGAAATAGGTATCTGAACTACTTCCACACATGTACACACAAACACACACACACACATATGCTCTGCTCTCCAGTGCTGCTGTTTTTCCCATTAATTCCTCCAGTCAGTCCAGTCCTACATCAGCTTGTCATCGCCCACCTCCACTCAGGACCAATCGCGCTCCCATGTTTCAGTCACTCTGACGCCCGCTCCTCCAGCGTTTGGCGACCGACCTGTCAGCATGCCGGCGGCTGCCTTTTATGTCTCAAATAAAGGTACAGCAGGCATGGCCCCCCGCGGCCCACATCTTATAATGCATATCCCTGCTTGAAGAGGCACTTTATATGGCCAACGACCATGTTGTACAGGGATGGTTAAGGGACTGTGAAGCCATCCATCCATTCTCACTGACTCCCTTCATCTTTTTTTGTGTCTCCACCATTTTTCGTCCTGGACCCTCCTGTCATTTTTAACTATCTCCTCGTCTGTCCCTGCAGTTTCACTTTTCTATCCCCACTGTCTTTCCTCCCCATCCCGCCCCTCTTACACATTTCTCTCTCCCCCCTTCCAGCTTGTCCTCCCCATCTCCCTCCCCTAAAGCCCTAGAGAAATGCTCTGGCCCTTTCTGCAGAGGCCTCGGCCCCCAGTCGAAAAGCTCCGGGCTGCCGTTTATGGCTGCGGGGGCTGAATGTGAGGAAGTACAGCCCACTATGGGATATGGAGACTATTAATATAAATGCTGCGGCTGGCAGAGTGTGTGTCTGCATGTTAGCTGGCGTCTGTGTCTGAGGTTTGAAGGTGTAGAGGTGTTAAATGATTAAAATTGTTCAAACATAAATTTTAAATGAGAGTCAGTAAGCTCACAGCTGTACTCATTCTTCATTGTTAGATATTAAATTGCTTCTTCTTGTTGCCAACAAAGTCTGGCAGCAGCTACAAATGGCAAACTAAATCAGATAAAGAACAAGAAGAAACAGCACTTGGGCCAATCTTCAACTCAACACAGGCAGCAGTTCACTCTTTTTTTTTAATGCTATTTCTTAAAGCCTTGAATTCCAAGTAATTGATAGCGTATTGCTGCTGAATAAAGGAGGTAAAGAAGGATGAAAGAGGGAGAGGTGAACGGTAGAGGGAGGTGGAGGAACATGGTTGAGCTCTCTTTGAAAGGCTTGGCAGAGTCGGGAAGTGATTAGGCCACTACAACAACTCCAATAATGACAATAGGGAAAACATGTCTGCAGCCAAAACCATTTAGCATCGGGAACGGTACCCAGTAGGGTTCCTATTTCAGTGAGTCATAGGAGTGTGGGAGGGGGCACATGGAAAGAAAGAGAAGTAAGGTGTTACCTACAGGAGGGTTTCAGGCCAAGGAGAATGTTTAGTTGCTGTTGTTTTACCTCTCAAGCTTTCATTCCTTACACATGCACTTTACAATGACTATGGTGACACATTTGAAACAATGGGTCTTTGTCTTCCTCGCGTTTCATTGACTTGTTATGAATGAACCCTGTAAAATGGTATTAAATATAAAGGATATCATGCCAAATAAATCAAGTTAAAGCTTTAAGTCCTGGGAAAAAAGTAAATACTACTGATGATCCGTGGAGAGGACATGGAAATAAGAGATCTGAATTTTTCTTATACAGCAGGATAGAGCAGCATGATAAGGGACAACTTAACAGTTGTTTCATTCTGACGTCTTTGTTAAGACACATGAAAACATAAACATGGACAAGCAACACAAATCAATATGATGGGTATTGGTTACAAGATAAGAAATGCTGAAAAAGACATGATGACCCTCCAAAGTGCTCACAGCAGCACCATGAACACAGCTTCAACATGTGGAGAAATCTAAAGCTTGGCCTGCCGTGCCTTGTAGCAGTTGTTAACCTTAAGGTGGACGACCTTTCTGAGCGTGAGCAGAAATCTGTGATTTTTTTTTTTTTTGTTTAGTCAGTTGCACCATCTCTTAAAACAATGCTTCTGCCAGGCAGACACTGACGCAGAGCTGTGGCGGTGTAGAAATGATTCATGGTCTTGTGGCAGCATGAGGTCTGAGACTCAGACTCGGGCCACATCATCTCCTGGTTTCACGACAGGTCTTCTGCTATTTTTCAAAACTTTACCAGACTTCTCCATCAACAGCAGAAACCCTTTCAGCGGAAAGGTGATGGTGCAGCTGCATCGCTGCAGGGTCAGAGCCAGAAGAGAGCAATGAGTCTGATGAACCTGATGTTCAGCCAGAATGCGAATCTGTTCTTAAATACGCCTGAAGGTCCGGGTCGTTCAGTCTGACATAAAACCGTACATTTGATTCCGAGTGTGACGGGATCTTTGTTGTCACTTTGTTTTTGTTGCTAGCATCTGAAACTTTCCTTTCGTCACTTAAGCACAGATTTTTCAGTACTGTGCCAGCTCACACAAAGCTAATGCCAGGCAACACATGACCACCAGCAGTGAAACGGCAAGTGATGCTCGCTTGTTCTCTACTCATCCGTGCAGTGCTGATTTGGGTGATTTAATGCTCTGTCCGTGTGTTTTCACAGGGCCTCCAGGAAAGCGTGGAAGGATGGGAAGAAGAGGGGAAGCTGGTAAGTGACGCTCGCCACCTGCTTTGTTTGTTCGTCTCTCCTTTTCTCTGTTTTCCTGGAAGACTCTTCGTCTCCCTCCTCCCTGTCTCACTCGCTTCTCCTGGGTGACTGGATGAGTTCGAGGGCTGGTACAAGTGACCCACGAGTCAGGCCGAGGGATGATGGGCTACAGTGGGCCCTTCTCCCTGTCCCTCCCTATCTGCGCAGACATAGCGCAAACCTTGGCCATGTGGTTGCACTAACTTTGCCCAGATGTCAGTCGTTCTCGTTGAGCGGTAGCAGCTGCAGTAGTGCGGGCCTAATGAGATTCTCCCTTGCCAACATCACTACCCCGCCATCATTCTGTTGCTTTGTCTTTCCTCCCAGACCGTAAAAACACTCATCGAGGAACCAAAACAGCGCAGAGAAAAATACATAACTCCTGTTACTCAAGGGGTCGTCATGACAGAGTCACCCCCATTTTAAATGTTGACTCCACAACACTGTTGTGCAACGCTGTTAGACGATGTTATCGAAACCTGCGGGACTAGTTGTTCTGCAGGATATGTGTCAGGTGGGAACATTTCCAGTCTGGTTGTGATTCATTGTTGTGGGTATTTAGTTGATGAGATCTGTTGCTGTGAAGATGTTGACTACGTGAAAGCTCACCCGTAACTTTAATGCTCTACTTAGCGCACCAAGATACTTTCTGAAGTTAACTCTCTCTCTTTCAAAGCAGTATAGTATATTTTACATTAAATCTTACAAGCTGTTTTAGCGCCTTTATTTATTTTTATTTTCTGTTGGCATCTGGCTGGAGTGGGTTTGGTTATTAGCAAGTATGAAAATTAAATCGTTGACATTAATAAAACTATTAATAACAATAGGGTTATTAACATATTGATAATAGCGGGGCACCACCCTGGGATCAGGGACCAATAACCAAACTATAAATTAAGATTTAAAAATCGGTGTTCACTCAAAATGTCAATAGTCAAAGTACTACTACACATTCAGAGTGAAGGGTAGAATCAGAGCATTGACTATAACAACCAGCTATTATCACAACACACATGCACAAAATAATCATAAAAAAACTGCTTTTTAAAGCTATAACAGTTTATTTATCTTTAACAATACTGATAAAAAATTGATAATATTATAAATAAACAAACATCTATTGTATATTACTACCTAAAAGCAACAAACAATCGTGTGTGTGTGTGTGTGTGTGTGTGTGTGTGTGTGTGTGTGTGTGGGTGTGTGTGTGTGTGTGGGGAAGAAGGGGGGAAAAGAAGAAGAAAGCACTCAAAATAAGGCAAATCCTCACCGCAGCAGTTAAGTACAGTAACTGTAACTCTATCACACAGAAGCCCGACTAGCGAATTTAAGGCTCGGCCACCGCAGACCTTTAAGTAATAAAGTACAGTTTACCGACTTTACTCGCGGTGGCGGATTTAAACACAACAAAGCTCAAAAGTGTGGAACAGCACTATCACAGCAGCAGCACGACAATTATGTTTCACAGCACTGAATTGGACAGTACAGTTAAACTTAAAACAAAACAGACAAGGTAACAAACACACTACGACCTCTCTCTGCCCAAACAAAAGCCTCTTACATGTCACAGGGACTCCCTGGGGTTCCCGTGGCTCTCGTCCAATGAGGCACCAGTGTTGAGGTACGAACAAAATCTGACACTCGGGTGACATTTTGACGCCTGATGGGGAGTTGGCGCAATTTCACAATCTAGGCTTTCTAAAATCACATGCTGGCCTTTCTCTTTGTTTCAACCACATGGATAAGACTACTTTGTATTTTTCTTATTGTCAACAACGCCCATGAAAAGGTTAAAACCAACAATATGGTTTGTCAGTCTCTTGAAATGTTTTCACTTCCGTAGCCTGACTCTGGCTCTCACTCAGTGCCAATTGAGTCCTACTGAAGACAGACATCTTTAAATAGAAACCATAAATATATAGTTCCTTTTCAAAAAGGCTCAGTAAGCACGGCACTGTAGTTTTTTAGCAAACATTACTCAAACAGAAATAAAATTGTATTTGTAGGATGGCATGACAATGTATGTGGGATTGACCAGTACAATGTGGCTCACTGATGTGTTTTTAACAGTTTTTGGACGACAATGGTTGTTGGCTTTTGCATTTTCATGAGATTTCTTGACAATAAACAAAATACAGGATATCACTAGACTTTCCCTTTAAATCTCCATTTCCTCCTAATTATTCAACCTCTTACGTCTTTGATTCAACCAGGCGATCACCAGGACAAATACATGACTGTGCTTTAATCAGGGCGTCGTGTATTTTGGAGGATTATTATTACGGGAAGGCTCGCCGTTGAGGTTTCTCCCAAAATAGGACACCCATCGGCTGGTCGTTACTCATCGCAGGATGGCCTGCATTCTGAATGTGTGGTTCTGTTTAGGTCGTGTCTCTTGTTATTTACTGTTGGCGTCCTCGCGTTGCAGCCTGGGTTATATTGTGCGGGGGTAGGTTGCACCGAGCGGCTGTTGCGCAATCCTCTATCCGATGACTCCGGGACAACCTTTTACAAGACCAGAATAGGTTTTTCCCGTTCTCTCAGAATAACAAATAAAAGCGGAGAAAAGAAACGGAAACACAAACTTGAATAACAGGAAAGAGAGCAGACAGAGCAGTGTTGATGTCTCCTGCATCAACCCTCACTATTTTATTCTTCAGTTTGCTCTTTTACTTGGTTTTCTCTTCTGTTTACCTCTCTCTCTCTCTCTCTCTCTCTTCCCTGTCTCTTTCTTTCTCATAAGTGTCCACACTCACACACACCTGTCTTAAGTTCAATGGTTAAAGCCGGTCTCACGGTGGCTCTCCTACTAGTGCATTTGTTTACCTAACTGTCTGGCCCATGGGGTCCTTGTCCCGGCGTCTAGACGCAGCTACATTTGATTGACTTGGTCTTCATACCTCATTAACTTCAACACCTCTCTCTCTCTCTCTCTCTCTCTCTTTCCCTTTTCACCTCTCGCCCCAACCACCTTCACTTTTTCATCCCTCTTTCTACGACTCTTATCCCAAAAATTCCCTTTCCCATGAATCAATCAGCAAATTTTAAGGCTCACGTATATTCTGGTCACGTTAGCACGACTTTTTAGATGTTTAAATTGTAACAAAACACCACAAATAGCCCACTTCCCCCCAGAGCAGGTCTGTTTTCAATCTTCCTGAGTTTATGTCGATGTTTAGTGTTGCATCCATGGACTGCAGTGGTACCAGGACTGCAGTGGTGGCATAGCTCCAAATCATGCCGTAATTGTGTTAACAATCACATAAATCAGCATCATGATTGGTTTTGAATTTAGATCAGATAAGTATGAACCAATCACTAATATAGAATATTTTAATGTCAGAATGATATATTCACTTTGTAGGGGTTTGGGTGGTTTATTTGTGCCCTCAGCCTCGGACTTTTAAGAGAGTGTTTTTTATCAGAATATTCCATTTAGACCACTGAGAACGAGTCTTTTGATCATTACTGTTGTTTTTGGTTAGGCTAAGTAAGAAAAGCAGAATGTACATTTTGCTGCTGAGGCTCAACATCAGAGAATTTCAATCAGATCTGAAAGACTGCCCCGGAGAAATCTCGGATGCATCTTTTTTTATACTTTAAAAGGACGCACACTCTGCCAGCACACCCCCGACCTTTTCACTGCCCGTTTGTCCTCCATCTGGTACACCCATATCTTCTTGGGAAACAAAGTCTTGACATGACTTCATGCCCTAATGCAAAACATGGCCCATTATCCAGAAGTCTGTTTATCATAACGGGTTCACCACAAATTCCATTGGCAGCAGCTCTAATGAGCTTGTTCTGTACCATATTTAGATGGTTAATTACGGTCATCATCTAACAAACCGCATTGCCTGAGCAGTTGTTTTGTTGTTCACCACTTTTCCGAGGAATTGATTGCTGTACAAATCAAAGGCTACCATAACTCTCACACACTGTGCTTCATGTGTCAGATGTAGAGAATATATTTTCTAATACCTGATTTCTCTTTTTGTGTTGCAGGACTGCCTGTAAGTACAATTTCATCTCATCCAGGTAGTATTAAAATCAACTATTGAGTTATTGAACATGGATCTGTTGTTAGATTACTTTCACACTCACATACACACACTACTACACATGTTATTCTTCAGTATACGAACTATGGTTTTTCTCTCACAGCAGTAAAACATGAACACACGGACACAAACTGTCACAGACACACTCACACATGTGCATCCACAGAGCGCGGCAACAAATGGACCACCTAGGGAGTAATGGGTGTGTGTGCTGCTTGTGTGTGCGCGTGTGTGTGTGTGTGTGTGTTTCATGGTGATGACTTATTAACAGCAACGTATTCCCCTCTCTGGGACTATAACTCCTGCTGACAGTCTGTCACACACACACACACAGCAGATAAAACACACACATACACTAAGATTTCTTCATTTTTAAATGAAATGCTGTTATCTGCCTGGGAAAAGTGACCCTATTCTGATTTTATTTTATATATTTATTGTTTTATTTGAATTATTTTGGTCGCATATGGCACAGGTCAGATGCACCGGCGCACCTTATACATTGAGAGAAAATGGTCTGTGCAGCTGGTTTACACTAAGTGTGCATGAAACTATTTATGATTTATCTTCCTGGACACACCCAAAATCAAGCCTCTAGCACAAAAAAAGGCGAGGAGAATGTGTGGTAATGCGGAGTCACCTGTGAAAACAATTTGTCTGAGTAAAGATTATCGACTTCAAGCCTCCAAAAAATAACTCAAAAACAATGTAGATGGCGATTTATTTTCTAATTACACAATCAAACAAAAGTCCAATATGTGCTCATGTTTGTAAGCAAATGAGGAGCCAAAAAGTTTGCACTGTAAACATACTGTACTGTAAAGTTAAGCTTGCAGTCAATCTTCATTAATTCCAGCTTCAAATTGATATAGAGTCATTTAGTTCTTTCATAAATTCTTTGTACGAACCAGTAAGAACTGAACCATGATCCTGTGTACCGTTTAATACTTTAGAGTAAAGTGTACCAGGTCTTGTGACCTGGGTTAGTGTATTTATATATATATATACAGCTGTTGGTTTCTGTTCTAACCTGTCTCGATGCTTCATGCTTTAATCTCTAACCTCACCAGGGCAAGGCTGGACGGGATGGATACCCGGTAAATTTGATTTGTTATTCATCCTGTCACTCTTCAATTCACCCGATCACATCTCTGTTTCCATTCCTCTTTCTTCTCTGGATTTATTGCTAATTTTCCTGCAGCTTCATTACGCCTTTCTCTGTTTTTTCCTCTCTGCACTTTTTGAAGAAATTACATTTACTCGAATCGTCGCCCGGTTACTTGCCTCTTAATGCTTCCTTCAACATTTGCTCCTCGCTGATGATGCATCCTGCCCCATGACTGATAAGTGACTCAAATACAGTTGTATTTAAGCACAAACAGACACATAAACCGCCCATTGGTAAAATGATACAAGTCTTTTATTTTCCACGGGCAATTTGAAACATCTCTTACTTACAGACACAAGGCATAAAATAGTGTCATAAAACATATTTAGCACACGTGTGACAATGAGTAAACATGAAGAGCAGTAAACATAAATACAGATATTGTGAAGATGTCATCTGTAAACTGAAGTGTAAAACATACCAAGGAAAATGTAAAACATTCATCCGCAAGACACAAATTACGGCCTTCAGCTTTTAAATGGGTTTTCTAATGTTTAAACAATTTAAGAGAAGATATACCTTATTGTCCTTAAGGGGATATTTTGCTTGGACAATAGTGCTGCACATAGCTGCAGCCAGCTTAAACCAATACATAGTCAATAAGACAACAGGGGTACAACAAAGATGCAGTAGAAAAAGATATGTAAGATATTGCACATGCCCTGAGAGATAAAAGAGTATGAGTACATATAGGCATTATAGAAATCAGGAGAGAATCATAAAAGCCATAAACTGATAATGCATAATACATAATACATGAAAACAAAATTCAATAACTGGGAACATCCATGGCTTCTGAATTCAAAGCAGATCACTGTTTTCCACAGTGGTGGAATGTAACTTCACTGAGGTACTGTACTTAAGTACAATTTTACTTGAGTATTTTCCACTTTATACTACTTTATATACTTCTACTGCCCCACATTTCAAAGGAAAATATTGTACTTTTACTCCAAAACATTTATTTGATAGCTTTAGTCTCCAGTTTGATGATTTAGACTATAAATACAAGATATCAACTAAAGAAGTAGCATATATTACCAAAGGACAGGTACCTAGCAGCAGATAAAGTAATTAAAATGAGTCTCACCTTCACCAGCTACAACATTAATGTGATGTAATGCAACAGTAACAGCAATCCAGTGATGTATTATATACAGTATATTACTCTGAACTGCATCCTGATACTTAAGTAAAACTTTGAATGCACTGGTAATCAAGTATTTTTGTGCTGTAGTGTTGAAGTAAAAGATCTGACTACTTCTTCCACCAATGATGCGTACCATAGACTGAGATTCAGCTCTTGTGATATCCAGAGATACAGCGGCCTCTTGTGGCCGGTTAGACTCACGCTGAGATGAAACGTATTACTGCTCTGTTGCTGATTTGTGGTATAGCCATTGTCAAATTCTCATCACGTGATACAGATACACCCTCATCATCCAGGAGCTCGGCTTGCACCAGCAGATGGATTCCTCAGAACTGGACGTCTGCATGGTGTGCAGCTCACGTGAAACATTAGCATGTGCAGGCTCTAAGTGTGAGCGTGTTACATGTTCAGTGAGACGCTCTGTCCCGCTATCGTATGACCCCCCTCCCTCTGTCTGGTTACCACGACAACCCGCAGTAGCCCCCCCCCCCCCGGTGTTGTGTTCCACGGCGTCTTGTTGGTTGTGTCGTTGTCTCACTGGGAATTTTGGGAAGTTCATTACCCATGGGGCTCGCTCCCAGTCAGATTCCCAGTCTGCCTGGCACTGCTCGGCCCTCCTGACGGGAAATGCCTGCTGCTAATTACACACAGGTGGGCTGAGTGCACAGAGAAGTGTGTGCACATTTGTGTTTGTTTACCTGTGACTCTATATATCGTTGTCACTGTCTTCATTAGAAATCCCAAAGTTTTTGCACATGCTGTTTTTAACTTTAAAACATCTGCTCATGTGAGGTGTGCAATCTGGGTAATCCTTCCAGGTCTAGTCACCATAATGAATCTGCATAGTCCTTATATGAGAGGCCTGTTATGATGACTAGATGTGGGTATGATGACTAAAGAAGCTGTATGAGGTAACAGTGAAACAACAGTAGATTCATCATAATAGCAATAAACATGGGACAGCACATTCTTTCATTTTAGCAGCAGAGATGATCAAGTTTCAAACACTGTGGCTTAAAGAGGCACATTCTTCCAGTCGGTTAGCAGTGTTTGTGTATCTGTGTCCATATGTGCAGATGTGAGTGAACTCCATCCTACCACCCAAAGTTTATGTAGATCTCTGGAACAAAGGCCAGAGCTGTGGAAGTGGTCAGTGGTCTGTGTGTGATATGTTTTCACACCAATAACTTCTCTCACATGGACTGCTCATATGGAGAGGGGCATACGCACATTAACACGAATGAGTCAAGTCAGTTTCCGGAGGGCAGCGCGGTGCTTACTTGTGTTGTGCCAGTGACTTGTGCCAGCAACTTTTTCTTTCTTTATTGTTCCATTGTTAAAACAAACAGTGAGATCGCTCTCCAGCACTTTTTCCTTGCTATCACTCTTGCAATGACGTACTGTCTCAGCACAATACAACACAATTCAAGCCTTTAACCCTCAGCAAGCAGGACTCTTAATTCTGTGACTGTACACATTAACACATAATTCATCAGTATAAACATAACAGCAGTGGTGGAAAGTAAGTAAGTACATTGACTCAAGTAATGTGCAGGTTTTTAGGTACTTTAATTGTACTTTACTTGAGTATTTCCATTTTCTACTGCATTTGAGAGGCAAATACTGTACTTTTTCCTCCACTAGATTTATTTAACAGCTTTAGTTACTAGTTACTTTGCAGATTGAGATTTATGATACAAAATATAATCAATAAATGAATTAAGATGTGTCACTATAAAGACTCAATTAGTCCCTGCTTTCCAGCACTATATAAAGTAATTTGGCTTCAACTAGTCCCACCTTTACCGGCTGCATCATTAAAACAATGTGCACATCAATAATTACAATCCAGTGGTATCATATCTTTTTGAAATGAGCCATTTTGCATAATGTGTGTTTACTTTTGGAAGTAAAAATTTTGATTGCATGACCTGAGAGTATTTTCATACTGTAGCATTACTACTTTTACTTGAGTAAAAGATCTGAATACTTCTTCCAGCACAGAACCAGTTGTCATACAAGCTATGTGCATACCTGTGTGTGCCTGTTTGCCAGTGTGTGAGTGTGCATGTGCTGCACTTCATTCAGGCGACATACACATGTGTAACAGTTGATAGGTTCTTCAGACTAATGCATGCAGCAGTCCACTTCCATTGAAGCATTAGTTATGTGATGAACAGTGTTAATGACATGCGGCCTGTGTGTATCTCAAGCATAACGCCATAAGTGTGTGCGCGTGTTTGTGCGTGCTGATGTATGTTTTTTTTCTCCTCATGTAACCCCCGTCACTTCGTCCTCTCATAAATCACAGGCGAGAGGTTTGACTTTCAGAAAAAGAGCCTTCCCACTGTCAAACAATCAAAATCAAGCAGGCTGACAGAACAGTGCAGAGGGGTAAACACACACCAGTTGATTCTCATTTGAATGTCCTGCCACTGGCGTGTTTATACAAAAATGCCAGTCTGTGAAAGACAGCGGCCCTCACTCAGCAGAAAAAGGCCAAGGCCTCTATTGTTCAGCTTTCCAGGCCGCTGAGTGCAGATAAAAGCCAGACAGTCACCCGACAACATGTCAGTAATTTTCTGTCCCAAACACACAGCACTCTGGTATGCTTTATGGGGCTTTTTGCTTCTGGATGCAGCCACTATTTTTTCAAGAAGGCAAATGTCATGTATCACAAATGATGTTAGCCCTGACATAGACTGGAGCGCTATCCCTGTGGCAACAAGAAAGTAAACAGAAGAGGGACTGAAAAATATTCACCAGAGGGTTGGTGGACCACTGCCAGAGAGGAAAAGATAATGGTATCAAAGGAGGAAAGTAGAACCAGGGCAGTGGAAAGGGTTTGCTCACTCTCACCATCGTCCTTAATTTTGACGCCTCTTAATTGAGCCCATTGAGTCTAATGTGTGCGACACATTACCATGTGTGTTTCTAGCTGAGACGTCTGCTCTGATGTGCAGACACCAAGTTTTCACGCAGCATCCTCAGCAATTACACCGTGCTGGATAATTACCAGTCTGCACCACAGGGAGTACAATAAAGACAGCAGAGACACCCCTCGCCATGTTTCATTGGGATTAAGGCACACACATGTATCAGCATGCACATACACTCACACACACACACAATCACACACTCAGACATATGCCCCCATGCAGGCCAAGTTATTTTCCAGAAATGTGTTTCAAAGCCATCTAATTGGTGGGAATGCTGAGTCAAAACTTTACATTTGTCGATCTACTGAGGGACGCTGCAGGACAAGATGGCGATGTAGACTAGAAATACACAACATTAAGCTCCTTTTATTCTGCCACCTGATCCATTTGTTGTTTGAGACAGAGAGATTTTACTAGTGGCTTTTCCAGCTCTTTTTCCTGCCTCGCAGACTTTTGTGTACTGTAGGTTTGTACTACACTGGCACACAGTGTGCAGTATAACAATGCAGCTGTAGAGACAGAAAAGCACAGAATATGTCAAAATCCAATTTCCCCTGGCTCCAAGTGTTCCCGACTCTTATTCTCATTCATAAAAACCCAACTGGCCCATTTTTCACTAAAAGTTCCTTCTGAGCTGTGTTGCTGATTTAAGTAAGGCTCATATTTTAAAGTATCTCATATAATCAGTCATAGAAGAGCTTCCTGGACTTGTTGGTTGAATTATTGCTCCAGGTAGATAATTCTGGGTCTTATTTTCTTCCATATATTGGCTACCTGTGGTTGTCGTAGGTTAAAGTATCTACTATATGCTTCTGAACTATGCAAACTGTCAACCGCCAGATATTAGATACAGGATTCTACTGTTGAGAAAAAGAAAAAAACCTCTCTTGCACACAGACACACACAGCTATAGTCCCCTCTGTTCACGGGCCACTGTGTGGCTTGTTAGCAGCCATAAATCAGTCTGTTTTTAATCCGGTTCAGACTTCGCAGCAGCCGATGACCTCACCGTGTACACATCGTCTGCTCGTCCTGACGAGCCTTGAAGGAGCCGGCCGCTGATAAATGCTGCCAGATGCAGAGAGATCCCTGCACACAAACACACACACACACACACACACACACACATACACACATGCATAGATCCAGAGACATGGACACAGATACCTGGGAAAACTCACTGTGACATTTGCAGGCTCATTCAAATTCTGACTCCTGCATGCCCGACATGATGAAAGCAGCGTGCTGCATTTAATAGAGTGGTGAAACTACAACCTGTTCTGTACTGTATGTAGCATCCAGCATGACATCCTCACTCTACACACTCCTCTCAACTGTCAGGGTGAAATTATTGCCATCCGATTGGTCCCAGTGATTTGTTCCACCCCCAACTCAGCCACCCACTGCTAATTTCACAAGGGGCCCTATATCAGGAACCTCAAAGATGTTTTGCTGTACTTTTTATAACCCAGACTAGCCAGTTCCGTTTTTGAAGAGAGTTTGTAGCCACAGCCGTCACATTACAAGACTAAAGAGAGGCAGCAAACGATCACACGAACTATTAATGAGAGCGTCTCCAAAGTATCACTCCCTCCTTGCTGGCTTCTCCTCTTGCCCACTGTCCATCAATCAAAGCAGGCAGCGACGACACTGTGGTAGGTTTTCACTACAAGACCTCAGGTCGGATAGCCCCCATGGGGCCACTAAAACAGGGAGATGAAGAGAAAAGCTCTACTCGTGAAAGCCATCCAAGGCCAGAGATGACGATTGTTAATGATGGTTTCCAGTCTGCAGAGCCACCAGGACTGTGAGCGGTTGTGCAACACGACTCGAGGGATCCTGTAAAAACTGTTAGCTTAACTTTGAGTGCGGCCATTAAGGAGGAAGTCAACATTAGCCTTTACTACATACATCACATTTAAGTGTTTTAGGAAAGTTTGATCCAACTGTTCCTTTATGTTTAAATAGGGATCTAAAGGTTTGTGCCTTTGAACTGAGTGTTGCTTTGCAGAGGAGGTTCAATGACTCCTCGACTGTTTTTATAGAGGTAAACAAAGTGGACAACTCCAACTGCTGTTTCAACACTTGGGTGAGGTTGGATGGGGACTTTAAGTACTTAACTGCCTGCTGGATTATCTCATCACCACAATGTAATGTAATGTAATTACAGCTGGACAAAATCCACCCAGAGTCTATTATGTTGGACACCACACTCTAAATCTTAGAATAATTACAATCCACCTGGAAACGTCTCATTATTTGAGTCTCACTTGTGCACACAAATACACACACACACACACACACACACACACACACACACACAGTTAAATGGGGCAGGATGTACAAAGAACATTTGTAAAAAATGTTCTTCATTTTCCTACTTTTTCATCCAATATTTGCAGCTGTTTTCTCTCCGTTGTTTACAAACGCTCTTTTTACTGTCCTCCCTTGAAACGTTTGTCTTGCCAAATCCACTTAACTGTTTTTCCCAACTTAAGATCACTTACATTGTCTCCTCAGATATACGGAGAAAAGACTCAAACATCATAACAATACTAATAAATAACAGCCGTTTATGATACTTTGGAGGAGGGAGACAGTGCTGTCAGTGGATTTAAAACAAATTATGTCTTAATCATGTTCTTTGCTCAGACTAATAGACATTTCTGGAAGGATTAGATTAACGTTTTTTGGACATAAATGTATTCACTGTTTTTCTGAGAGTAAGATGAGGAGGTTGATACCAATCTGATGTCTGTAAAAAGTGTACTAATCAACACATATCTTCTCTGTTTGATATGTTCAAAGCTGAAGTGCACAAATGATATGTGGTGGTTTTATTGGGGTTATGTAGATTGTTTCCTTACCAGTCGCAGTGATTAGCAAGCTAACGTTCTTGGCTCTAGTTTATGAGACTTGAGAGTGGTATCAATCTCATCATCGATTTCATGGCAAGAAAGTGAATAATCATATTTCCCAAAATGGCAAACTAGTCATTTAATGGTTCTTTGTTGCTCTCTTTTGCCTTTTTCTTCATCTCTCCTCCAACAGGGTCCTCTTGGCTTGGATGGGAAACCAGTGAGTACTCCCATAATGAAATGTCTGAAACTTGCTTCAAGTGACTGACAATAGTTTGATTTTAATTCTGTTTTTCTCATCTCAGGGTTTCCCAGGTCCCAAAGGAAGCCAGGTACACCATCACACACCTTGTCTTGTTTTAGTTTTCTAATAACAACACATATCAATTACACTGAAGCAATTCATTCGCAAAGATTTCATGCAAATCCAGGTGGGTACGTGGCCTGTGAGACAGGTGATGGTTTGCTAAACTTCATCAATCATCTCTACTGGTCCTAAGGGAACATTGCAACTGAGTGAAAAAAACCCGGTAGCCGTCGTGTTTCTTGTTCCACCTCTTAAGTCATCCCAGGGCTCACAGCCACGGGGGAATCATGGCTCAATTGAACCGGGTGCTGAAATCCCCTTTGCACTTCACCTCTGAGTCCCATCCATCACGTTTCCCCTGAAACCCTGCCGCGCCCTCCAGACACACCCATGTGTAGCGTGGAAACAGGCGAAGCAGAGCGAATGGGTTACACACCAGTGAGAAAAGCGAGGGAGAGAAAAGGGTTTATAACCTCACAGAGGCTCTTTAAAAAGTCATTATAGTACCCTCTCTAACCTCCCTCCTCCTTTGCCCACGAGAAGGACGAGTCATCTGCTGAAATGTAAACCCCTCACAGCTTAATGAGAGCTGTTTGAAAAGCTCCTTTCCAAACAACGTTAAACTGTTGTTTCCTACAAAATGAGACCTCAAGCTGAGTCTGTCCTTTAAAGAGGACTCTCCCCATCGCCGAGCGTCTGCCGTAAAACCCCAGCAGGTGTGACAAATACCACGGGACCAGAGTCGCCTAAGTACACAAGGGATGCTAGGTGAGATGAAAACAAGAGGATAAAGGATAAAAGCAGTTTAATTTGTTGTTGGATGACGGCCAGGGGAGTCGGAGGGTTATTCTACAGGAATAAATCAAGTTTAAAGGAACACTGACAACGAGTTCAACAACCATAAACTAAAAAAGAAATTCATCTGTAGATGAAGTTCATTCAGTGTCATGGATATAGATAAAAACAAGGTCAATGATGAAACCTTTTATTTTTCCCACTTCTAAAATGACATAAATGATAGAAGATATTTTTAACATAAAACCTTTTGCAAGCATAGACACAAAGTTATTTCACATTCTTACTAAAAGCATTACAGATTAAAACCAGGGTAAAACTGACATCAAAAACTACACATTTGTAATAAAGGACGACTTCCAAATTTCGTTGCTCAACATTTTGGATCCCTTTAGAAACGTTGGGATCTCAACTAGAATTTAAAATAAAGTTAGCTTGATTTGAACAATGTTTGACTGACTGTATATTTGCCAATATTGAAAATTGAAAACCCCCAATGATAATTACACACCTACTACTACTACCTGCTGGTCACTTCTTCCTGCTCCTCCATATCTTCTTTCCCTGAGAAGGAGATAAGCTGCTGCTTGTTATCATGTAGCCAGTCACATTAACACACTGCAGCTCATCCTCTGCACCAGACCCCCTCTCAGCTCCGTACTACAGTGAAGACGAGAGAAAAGGGGGAACAAATCAGAGAGGGAGGTATCACACCGGATTGCATGGCAGATTTGGAGACTGAATAAAAGCAGAATGAGGGAACGAGTGTGTGAAATACAGGAATGGATGAGTGGAAAGAATAGACAGTTTAGAGAATAGAGTTATGAGAAAAGTGTCTGGGCTGTAAGATGTAAGATCTGCTCACAGTAGTTGCTTTTAGAGAGGCGGCAGGTGAGATCAGAGAGAGTCGTTCTCCCAGTATGTGGTGCCGCCACGCTTGGGGTCCTTGTGCCACTGAGTCAGGACAGACAGATAGACGAGGGCACGGCACAGCCCAACCAATCTGTGGGCCTGATGTTCATGAGACAATGTCAAAGGCCCAACACACAGTGTCACCTTGTGTCAGCGTCTAGCCTATACTGTACATGAGTGCATGGGCCTCTTGTGTTAGACCCTGTGGTTTTAGTTAGCATTTCCAGCATTCCACGTCTAAAATATCTTCCCCTCTGAGAGGACGACCGAACAAAGGAACATGTTGCCCCTTTCAGTTTTATCTCTCAGCAAACCAGTTTTTGTCTCACAAAGAGAAGCCTTCAAAAGCATGCTCGCTCCAAGCTCATGTCATATGGTGCTTTTATTGTGAAATATGTTCAGACAGAAGTGACTTGTGATTGAGAAGTCTCAGTGGCACGGCTGCATTACTGCCTCGCCTCAGTTTAAGATGTACTGCACTGTACATGTTGCTCGTGTGATTTATTATTTATCTTGACCAACTGTCTCCGATTATCTCCTCCCTCCTACAGGGACTAGCCGGACCCAAGGGAGAAAAGGTATGCTTCAATATGGACTTCGACTGCCCTGCCAGACAAGTCAATGATTTTACTGTACACACACACTTACGCATAACCTCACAGGTGTTCTCTGCAGCCCTCCCACGTTCACGCTTTCACTGCACGCCCATCAAACGAGCCATAGATTACATGTAGTTGTGCAGGAGCTCGTATGTCTCCACACATTCTCACGTCAAGGCACTAAACAGGTCTACAGGCCTTCCGCAGGGCTCGATGATAGCCAGATGTTTTCCCTCTCTGTGAACCTCTGCCCAGCCTGAGATCATGTAAGTGACCGTAAGAGCTGAAAGAGCTGGCAGACGAGGCTCGTGCATGCGCATGCGGTCGTTTGCGTACGCACTGATGGCTCATTTTGTGAGTGTGTGTACGTTTTTTGCACTCGAGCGAAAATTGTCCAGATAAACGCAGCCGCAAGAACAACTGCAGTAAACAGCATCTGTCAGAGCAGGATTCAGGTTGATGAGCGGGGATTGCAAATGACGGATGATGAGCGGGGTTTGGGAAATTGGCTCCCTTCATGTAATCATGCCAGTAGCTCTGTGATGAGAACATGAACTCCAAATCCTCATCAGTGAACCTACAACCCCCAGCACGTGCGCTCTTACTTTGACTTCCATCCCGTCCCGTCAGATTGTGGTCTATCAAATGATTTATGCATGTTGACTTCCTGAGCTGTTTTTTTTTGAGTCTCTTCCTTCCCGTATTTAAGTATTAGTTTTTAAGCCTTTCTGTCACAGCCCTCTACAGTAGCAGTATTTCATTATATGCCTCGTCCTGTGTGCTTTTACAGTGTTAATAGCTTCTGACAATTGTTATTTTCCTGTTTTTCTCCCAGGGTGATCAAGGAGACGTTGGACCCAGGGTAAGTCATGTTTTCTGTCTTTGCCTGAGAAGGTGAAAAGAGATGTTTATGACTGTTTAATGTGCATTTTAAATGCTATTCTTTCTCTACAGCTGACCTGGCTGAAAAGGCCTTTCCTTTGATTGTTCTTTCTTCCTCAGCAAATCTTTGCAGTTTAAAGATGAGCTTCCATTTATATCTTCCTTACAGTTTTTGTCTTCTTTCTCTTTTTGTCTTTCTCTGTCTCTGCCAATCTCCTTTTTTTTCACTGCCTTTAAGGTCATGAGACACTCTTTCCCTTTACATATTATTTTGAAAGAACTACAAGTATAACACAAAGTCCATATCTAATTAAAGCTGTGACAAGCATTTACAAAATGCCTTTGTCTGAATGACAAAAAGCCACTAGTTATAAGGAAAAGTTTGGCATTTCAGGAAATACACTTTAAGATTCAAATGAAAAGATTGGTGCCACTCTAACAATGCAGATACTTTACTTGGCTGTAGCCAAAAGCAACATCTGCAGCTATCTATCATGTGTATGTGCAACTGACAGTGTCTTAGAACTGCAGGAAAAAACCTACACCAATGCATCTGAGATTTAAACCCAGACCAGACAGAGTAACAGACCATCACAAATTGGAAATTGTAGAGTTTTTACAACATCTGAAAAAACGACTCATCATTTCCCTGTTGTCACGCTGGGGGGGGACATTGTGTACGTGCAAACAGATAAACGTGAAAACACATCTGATCACAAGTTTTGTCACATTGTGTTCTACCCACATAACATTCACCACTTGGACCACTTTTAATAACTCAAAAGAAAGTATTTTCACCCTGGGCTGCTTCCCCAGCAACTGCACCAACAACGCAGTTCGGCTCCTGTGATGAGGTTTGAGTTGCCCACATTTCCAAAGCCAGAGATGAGAAATTATGATATTAAAGAACGATGGAAATACTTAAACGTCACCATCAAAACCAAATGGTTGGGGCGGTGCGCCAAAGCTGCCATCTAGTCTCACCCAAACTATGTTTTCTTTATATTATGGAGCAACCTAGCTCTGCATCTGGTCCGTGTTGTCAGTGTTGTCTTTTCATGTGATATCATTCCACCCGCTATATGAGATATGTAATTATCTCCCGTTTGATTCACTGTGGTTTGAAAATAAGCCCCCTGTGCTTTACATGGTAATTTGATTTGACTCTTTGAAGAGGTCAAGAATCCTGAATGATGTTTTTGTAGTTTGATTATTTTTAGAATATAATATCAGGTCAAGGTCACATTTCCTCACGTGCAAAAAAACGTAGCTACTGAGATTTTTTGTCAAAGTTTCTCCATTTTCCCTTGGATGATAAATTGTAGAAACATAACGTACAGAAATGATTAGTCACTCGATCGATAATTTAATGCAATAATTTGGATAATTAATATATATGATTTACAACTGACAAAAGTAACCGTGGTTGCAGTTTCTGAATCGGGAAAAAGAAAAGAATATATATATTCATACACCTAAATTCAAACAAGTCACATGGATAGCAGAAGCCAAGATATATATATATATATATATACGTATATATATGTAATATATGAATATTTTAACTTCCATAGCCATACCGAGTAAAAAATAAAACTAAAAACTAATATACAATCTATCTATTCTGGACAAAAAACGCAAATTAGCCAGTAACTTCCATATTGGCAGTGGCCTGTATTATGAGAACCATATGAGCCATTATAAAATGTTCATAAAAACCTCTTTAAAAGGCCTTTGTAGCCACTTGCTGCTTGTCATTATTATTGCTAACTTTCATTAGAAAATAACCATTAAATGAGCTTCAGAATAATAATAAGAAATAGATGTATGCTCATAAATCTTCTAAGAGTTGGAGCCTGACAATAATGGCATAACAGTGTGTGTTACGAGTATTGGAATGAGACTGAATGACTTTTATTTTTTAGCAGAGCACAAATCGAGTGTAAATTTGACAGGGCTGCCCAGCGGAACAGTATTGATGATGCGGCTCAGAAACATAACAGGAATTCTTGATTCCTATCGAGGCGTACGCCATTTGGTTTCCCAGCTTATCCCTTCAGATTTTGTTGATGATGGTTTGTGCAAGAATTAAATCTTTTTGGCATTCAGCATTACATAGTTCCTCCAAATAGTAAATATTGTATTTGGACGAGGGTTCTGGAGCTTGGATGTCGTTGGATAAGTCTGCAGCCGAAAAACCTCAGAGTATCGCTTAGAGACACAGGCTTGGTCCTAAAACAGGGGTGTCAAACTCATTTTCACTCCGGGCCACATCAGCATCATGGTTTCCCTCAAAGGGCCGGTTGTAACTGTAAGACTGTACAACTGTAACTACTCCTAACATATTGTTAAATAACTGTCTCTGCTTTTGATTATTGTTTATTCAAGTGTAAAAATATTGTACATGCAGTTATATAAATGTAAAATGACATTTAAGCACATTTCTGTTATTATAACATAAATCATTTTAATTTAGGGTTAAGAAACCCACATTACTCTATCAAAGATCAAACTTTTAAAGAAAATATCAAAAACAAATATCATCAAACACAAGTTATTACATTAACTTTGTTCAAAGCTATTTTTGTCACCTCTCTGCATCACTAATGTCCCCGTCGTCGTCCCCTGCATGGCAGCTACATCCAAGAGCTCCTCACTGAGAGTCAGGTCTGCCTTGAGCCTCTTACAAACATTGATAGATGATGTATCTCATCTCTTAGCTAGCTGTGTTGTTAGATTAGCTGCTAGTTCCTGAACTCGGTCTGCGATGGTGTTTCTTCACAAACTGACATTTGTAAAAGTCTGTATCTGGTCGGAGCTCACCTGCTCACATACCTTTAGCATGCACTGGGCTGTAGCTTTTGTAAATATATTCTGCTGTGATTGCACTCTGCCTTTTAATTCTTGGACAATTTTATGTTTTTCTTGGAGGCTAAATTTAGCTCCGTGTTTGGTGTCAAAATGCCGACGTGAATTGTATCTTTCATCACCGACACGCATCATAACACAGAAGACAGACCCGTTTTTCTCCCTGAAGCACAGACATGTATTCGCTTTCCCATCTTAAATTACATTTTCTTCCCTCTGCATCAATTTTTCTCTTCGTGGACATTTTGGGATTATTCGTCAAACTTTTTCAACTCAATCACTTGTTGGAAAACCGCTTTACGGGCTGTTCCCTCTCCTGTCCACCTGTTGTGATAGTTTTAATGTCGGTACACAGACAACATGCTATCTCATAATTTCAACTTTCTATCTCATAATTTCGGCCATGGGGATATTTTTATTTTCAAGTCCAACTTAAATTGTTTTTTCCAAAATTAAATTTTTTTTTTTTTTTTTTTTTTTTTTTTGCTGGTGGATTCGCGGGCCACATAAAATGACGTGGCGGGCCGGATTCGGCCCGCAGGCCTTGAGTTTGACACGTGTGTCCTAAAACTACTGTATTTGTGAATGAGGTTTGGCATCGGGGTCCATTTTTATAGATATGCCTAGATAGGTTGGCAAATGAAAAGCTTATGGACTCTGAATGTTTAAAACATGATTTTCTTACCAGCTATGAATCACTGCAGATAAAAAGTGGTGCAGTGGGCGTACCATCATCATCAGTACATAAGCTCAGTCATCACTTTGCCATGGTCTCAACATTGTACGCTAATTCACCTCTGAACTCTACGAGAAGATGAGAGAAAACATGTGAAAAACAGGAAGTGGCCATGAATCTATGTCAACCTGTGACTTCCTGTCAATCCATCATGTTCAGTGTACTCAGGCCGAATCTGGTCCCAGAACAGATTACAACTCGGGACAACAGGGCTGTTAAAACACAATCAGATGTCATAGAACCACCAAAACATGTCAAAAAAGGTCATGTGTGGATCTCAAAAGCAACTGGGATTGAAAGGCAAAAAGATGGTAGCCATTTTTCCCAGGCTCCATACTGTCACAAACATACGTAGGATGTTGTGAATGCATGTTTAAGTTTGTCTGGCGGCTTGGTTGAAAGATGAGCCCCGATGGGAGTTTCATCCACAGCCAAAGCCTCCTCTTGCCTCTCCCGCAGCAGCTACAAAAAGACCATAGTTAGACGGGGCTCCGAGGTTGAATGGCTGTTTGTCTTAGTATCAGCCGGTCTGATGAGAACAAGGTAAAGGATAAACCCACTGTGAAACAGCCTATTCTCTTATGAGAGGATTAAGGAGCATATGTGTGCAGTATGTGGTCTCCATGGTGGGAACAGTGGGAATGAGTGAATGTGACATTGGGAAGAGAGGAGTGTGTAGGCAAAGAGAGGAAGAGGAGGGGTCTGCGGTGTCAGAAAAACCTCAGCTATCCAGCGCTCACCGCAGCCTGTTAACGGGAACCTCATGAGTGGACTAGCATCTCCAGTCTTTCTCTCCCTGCTATGCCCCTGCTGTTCTTCCTCCCTCCTCTCTTAGATCTTCTCTCCATCCTTCATTCAATGTGTTTTTGGAGGGAACTCAACCAGAGAAGCAACACAGTGCTTCGAACTTTGTGGTGGCAGACAAACTCTGCTCCTTTCAGCTTGACAGGCAATCATCACAGTTACTGTCTGTCGGCTGGAAAGAGCCAAGCCACCTCTGTTTGGTTTGGTCGCAAAGGGACGGAGGGGAGGCATTAAATGAAACGCACACACAAAATTAAATACATGTTTGAACAAGAAACCCAGGATACAGTTTCTGAAAGGACAAAGGGGACAGTTACTGGGTCTTAGTTTTGATTTCTCAGTTTTAATGGAAGATATGTCTCACTATTTGCAGATGATGTAGTTTTGTTCATTCTCAAATGTATATCTTGTCATGCTCTTTCCAACCCCATTGGTATGCCACAGGAAGTTATTCACCTGTCCCCTTGTCACTTCCTCTCTTCAGGGTCCTCCTAACTACGGCTCATATGCAGGTCTGCACAGTAATCAGATTCTCACCGTCAAGGTTTGTTCCTCCAAGCGAACTGTCCCGCAGTCCTCCCAGCCATCTCTGCTCTCTGTCAGGCTGCTTATCTGTCACTATCGCTGCAGACAATTGAGCAAAACACCCTCCTTGAGCTTTCTCTTTTGGCTTACAGCTTCAGAGGCTGCTGAACTCTCATCTGTTTCCCCCCCAGCAGTTATTTCCCTCTTGGTTGGACTCTCATCTGCGGTCTCTTAATTAATATTGGTTTCTGGTTTCTTTACTCATTTATCCCTTTCTTTTCTCCCTCTCTTTTGTCCTTCAACATGCTCCATGTCCCCCCCTCTCTTTTTCCACTCTTTCCTTTTTCTCCGGTATTTCTACTTCTTGTCCCTGCCGCACCTCATGCATCTCAGATGGTCTTCCCCAGATATGACCATGGCTTTCTCTCTGGAGACCAGTCCAATAGTTTTCAGAGACGTTTTCTGAAGGTACACTGCACAGCTAGTGCATGTGTGCACTTTTAATACTTTAACTAACCTTTTTTATGCATGTTCTGATTCGCAATGCATCGCCCTTCTTTCGTACTTTCTCAGTCATGTTGCATTTCATTGATTTCATGTTTTTTTTTCATAATTTTCCTCAATGTGCTGGCTTGTTTAGTTGTATTAATATGACGTATGATGTTTAATTGTTTACAAAAGTTCTAAAGCATCTAGAAATGTAGCAAAACATCTTGGAAGATGAGCCACACACATTTCAGAGAGCCTCCAGAAATGTGTGCTTCTCATTACAAGAAGAATAGAAAAGCTTTGTTGGGGACAAGCCTTAGCTTAATAGAGACATGATAATTGTCAGTACAAGAAAATAAGGATTTGGTCTTCTATTTGAAGGTCTTGGTAATATCATTTTCTTGAAAGGGCTTGCTGTACCATGTTGCTTGCCGCAACAAAGCAAATGCTAATGCACCACATGTTGGTATATAGAGATGAGAGAGTGCAGAAGAAATGTGTCACCATGTGACTATTGATACAACGCTGGGCCTACAGCACATCCCCTTCTGTGGTGAGCAGGACTTCTAGGGCGTTAATGGGTTTTGTTTGGCCTCAGCATGAGGGTGGAAGTCATCAGAACAAGACTTGCCCCCAGCTAGATGTAGATCCAGTGATGAAACCGTCTTTGATAGAAGTCAGGTGACGCTTGCATTTTTGTTTTCTGAAGCATAAACTGAAAAGAAACACCTCATTCAAGAGATGACGTTGTCCTTAATTAATGATTTCCTGTGTGTGAGAGTGCATTTGTCAGTATGGGTGTGTTTCACTTTGTGACTAAATATCAGTCTGACTCACCAGATGAGGACTGCTGCTATTGGCCAACTCCAGTCTCCAAGTGTCACTTTTTAAGACTCCATCATTTATATGACATGGGATGACTAGCAAATTAAGCTACATGCTAATGCTGGAAAAGTTCAATTGTACTTTTTATCTTCAACCTCAACTCTCCTCAGCTCATCTTTTAGCTCATTGTCTTGTTATTTTCCGATCTACAAGCTTACTGTTTTCATTGACTTGCACCATTCTGGCTTTGTTTTCGCCTGTTTCAGCTGTTTTCATGAAAACCCCTTTAAACCCACCGTATAACCAGCACAAAGACAGATAAACAAAGTCAGCAACTATCTGCTGGAGTATTGAGCAGCTAAACAGTAGGTTTCCCCCAGGAGTTAGTGGAAACTAAAAAGAGCTAAAAGAAGGGTGAATATTGGACTTAGATGGACTCGAACATGGCTCCAAATGAATGTTGCTTGCTATCAGCTGAATGTGTGAAGCTGAAGACTAACAACTATTAAGAAATAATGCTTTGCTTTTTCATGGATGAAATACATTTTTTCTTGTATTTCTTTCCCTTATTCTTCTGTGTTTTTCTTGTTCTTTTTCATCAGGGTGACCAAGGCCAGGCTGGACCCGCTGGTCCTCCTGGTCCTCCAGGTCCCCCAGGTCCCCGAGGCCCCCCTGGGAACACAGGCAAGGACGGGCCACGTGGCCCTGCTGGCGAGCCGGTGAGAGCTTCTCCTCATGCATCACAAGAGACAAATGTATACCCACTACATGAAACAATGCACCCATACACACCCACACTTTGTTGCTGTTATTCTCGTCCTCCTTCATCATTCTCCCCCTTTTGCTCACCCTCTAACTAAGGTCACACCACAAAGAATGCAGTGATGTAAAACACCTCAGTCATCAGGGACTGCCGTTACTCCAATTGTGTTGACGTGTTGGGGTTCAACCTCAGGTTGAGACAGATTGCAAATATGTGTGTGTATGCTCTGAGTGAATGTGCATTTATACACATGTATTAAAGGGGTAAGGGTCTCTGCAGTGAATTGCAATGAACCCAAATTCTCTTGCCAGTGAGCTGTGGCTTACCTAAAAGCTTCCAGAATAGCAACTCTACTCCTGGCCTCATCTGGTTTGTGTAAGACAGTGGCCACAAAGTTCCCCAACACGCCCCCCATTCTCCCACCCTCCTATACCACGACTGTGTTGCTGTGCACCCCAGAAACCGATATGGCACTGCGGCGAGTTCATGGGCAGTTTGCGGGCCTCGCCAAACAATAGTTGTGTTCCTCGCCTAAGGCAGTTTATGTTTCTCAACATTACCTTTGTGCTTCCCAGAGTTTAGTTCATATGCAGCGGTAGCTTAAAGCTGTGGTTGTGGGATGGAAGAGAGAGAAAGAGGCCATGAAGGTAATCGTTGTTTAATCAAGTGAAGGAATGAATTTTGTGTTACCCTCAACTGGAACAGGGAAGCAATAGGACTGAAGTAATATGTCACTGTGGGTGAGTTGAGAGATTACGCAGAACCGACAAAAGAGAAAGCCAGCGCAGCTCAGAAAATGACTAAAAGCAGACGGGTCGAAGAGAGGGGGCCGTCCTGTAACCTAGTTGATTTCTGATATATTCTTCAAGTTGATTAAAGGCATTGCTAAACTAAAACAGCAAAAACAAAACAGAGTGGCGAAAGAGCCGCTCCATGTTGTGGGCAGATGTCTGAGTGGGCTGAGCAGGAGAAAGTGAGCGAGCCGGCCAGCGTGGGTGTCCTTGAACCGTCGCCGTTTGTTTCTTTAAAGTGGAAAGTAAAGGAAGGACAGCTCGAACCCAGTTGCAGGTAGTTTCTGTCTGATGTGTGGCCACCTGAAACTGCTGTGGCGGATGTGTCTGTAAATAACATATCTAACTTCAGGAAATAATTGAAAGCAAATTTAGGCTTGTTCATTTGTGGAAACGCATCTGACATCTGAACTGGTCTTCATCCATCCTTTTTCTGCGCTCAGGATAAAAAAAAGTGCTAAAAAATGATTTGCAACGGTGATTTGTTTCCCGCTGCTGTGTAGGAAAGATCAAAAGACAAGCAGGACGTAAGAGGGCTGAGAAAGGAGGTTAAAAAGCTGCTGGAGCAACTGAGGATGGAAATAAAAGAGGACCACATAGCAGTAGAAAGGATCAGGATGACAGTTTGTATGTGCTGCTGTAAGTAGCTTCTGCACATTATTTTAAAATATGAGGACAGAGTGGAAGGCTAATAATCTCCATTTTATAGCATGCATTTACAGCAGTGCAGTGAGTGATCAAGTAAACACATCAACTTGATAGCAGGGTGTGTGAGAGAGAGAGAGATGGAGGGCTCCTGCACTAGATCCCAGGAAGTGGTCTCTGCCATGGATGAGTTCATAGCAGATGTTTAGCTGCTCCAAGCACACGTCCACCTGGCCCTCAGAAACTAGCCACGATAGGTCTGTTTACCTAAATAAGCCACCAAACCACCGAAAGACAGATGCCGACACGGAATACTCCATCCGATGTTTGTGTTGAGTTATCGCTCATAATCACACACCGAGTTCTGGCCAGGGCTCCGTATTCATCTATTGCAAATTGAAGAGAAAAAAAAGGCATTTTGAAAACAGATTGGTGACACATCAAAGTTGTTATTTTCTCATTAAGTGTTTTGATGATGCTGGTGGAGAGCGCTGTCTAAAACACCCGAAATCTCCCGTAGGAGTTCAATTGGGTTGAGACTGCGACGGCCATAGCATATGAAATCATTCATATCTTGTTTTTATTTGTCACTTGTCAGTAGGCTAAGTACTCAAGTCCATGGACTGGTCATGCCTTGTTAAACACTGACATCTAGTGGCTAAAGTGGTTTGACTCTTTAATGTATGTTTACCTGAAGTCTAGTAATAAGTTTCTCCTCTGTCCTCCTCAGGGTTTTCCAGGTCATGATGGCGTTGAGGTGAGTTCAGTTCAAATCCAGTTCGAGCTATCTGATTGTTGTTCGTGGATAACTATTATAAGTCTGGGATGATCATTTGTCTGTCTCTGGATAAATATGGTAAACTATTATATTTCTGCTTCAGGGGACACAAGGATTGCCTGGGAAGCCGGTACGATCATTACTAGATATCTCACCTTGAGTCAACTCGATTTCCGTACTTCTTGTTTTCCCCAAGTGTCTTGTAACATTCTGCTGTTTTGCTGCAGAAGCATCATGTGACCAAAAGTTTGCACTTTTGACATTTATGGACTTTTATGAATTGACAGGGACAAGATGGTGAGTCCGGCTATCCGGGACCACAGGGTTCTCCAGGAGCGAAGGTACAGATAAGCGTCACTCATGAAAGTATTTTAATGTATCTGTGTTTTCATGCATTGTGTTGAAGGTTTACTGTGTGTGAAAACAGGGCGAGTCCGGTACGGGAGGAAAAGGAGAGAGAGGCATGGATGGACTCCCAGGATTGAAGGTAGAAAACCGATGTGAAATTGCATTTAAACAATACACACATAAATACTAAATACTACACTATTTAAAACATTTAAAATATCTATTGTCTGAGAGAGCTCCACCATAATATGCCATATGTGTGATCAAACAGGGAGACAAAGGGGAAATAGGAGAGCAAGGCCAACAGGGACCCATGGTATGTGTATGAACAGAAACACTTGTATTGTGATTATCTTCAGTTGTTTGTGTATCTCTCATTCATGTTTACCTGTCTCTGCCTCAGGGTTATCCCGGTGAAAAAGGCGCAACAGGCTCCTCAGACATCATCGACTTCAATGGGAAGCTTCTAGACGCTTTCCAGGTGAGTGATATCAAAGCGCAATGAGACCAGATAAATGGTTGCATTATATATTCCATCAGACATTTATCTCTGAATCTCAAGTTGGGCATCAGGGAAAAACTTCAACAAGCCCAGAAATGGTATAGCGTGGTAAGAAGCACTGTTTTCTTTTCGAAACCGCAAAACTGAACACGTCACCCTTTTCTTCTTGACAGGCCATCGACACCATCAGTATTTCGGTAATCTGCCATTATTTCTGCATGGTTTTGGTGGAGTGATCAGTAACTAACACCTATAATGATCACACAGACTTGCATAAGCACACAGCCCGTGTGTATTCGCATCTTATCACACCTGCTTCAGCCAGTGGATCTATATGTTTTTTGTAGATGCCCGCCACCCAGAACTACATACTTCAGATGTATTGGATCTCACTCTAGAGGCTATACATCTAAAGAGCATTACTGAATGTCCTTGGTCTACTAGTCTACCAGGCTCTCTTGTGTATTCATTTGGGATAAAAACTCACAGCCCCAGCAAATATGGTACAGCTGTGCTCTTCTATCAGATAACATGCAGCCTAAAGAAGCATGCTTAATCATGCAGAAAAATCACCAGCTTTTTGTTATCCTGTTCTGAGTGTGTTTTCATGTTTCCAACATGCCTCACAAGATATGTGGCTGTAACTTGCTATAGGGCAGCATGGTGTTTTTTTTAAATGCATTTGTGTTCCACATAACCGAGTGCACAAGGGGAATGCATTAGAAAGGAAAGGAGGGGAACCCCTCATCGTCGCCACAGTCTCAGTTTCATATCAGTCCCCTACACGCCACCCTTTGATTCCATATACCGTGCTACATGCTAATAACAGATGGCTATCTCTGCAGTGGAATGTGTATTTGATTAAATACCACTCTGCGCCGGGTCCCCTCGGACCTGATCTGAAATGTGCTCCTGCATGCAAAGCTGTAGACAGCAGCGTGAGACAGTTACAAAGGGGTCTGTGCAAACACGAACCTGAGATCTTATCAGAAGCCTTTTGCCAATGCGGGTCAGTTGGCATCAAATCACACGCAAGGTCTCAGCTAGAGTTGTATTCATCAAGCGGGGAGTGCTCATTGGCCACCCAGCTCGTGTTATGATCCATTCACTTGTTTGTGTGAGAAGCCGTATTGGTTTCATCCGTGGTGACATTTTATGTGATGATGAATTTGGTGAAGAACCATGCTGAAATTGGTTGCCTGTTACTTTCATCCATTTTACAGCTTTTTGTTTAATTATTTGCATGAAAAGCCTTCACTTTCAATTGATGGAATATCTCAGATCAAATAGTTGTTTGTAAACATCTATTGGTTTCCATGGTGAAATGGATGATAAACAGAAATTTAGAAATTGGAAAAAGGAAGAGAGTCCGCATCTGCACATCCGGGAGGCAACATGGGTTTATTTTTTATGACTTCAAGATGTCGGAGGACTTCAGAGGGAGAAGTAATACGTGTAGTATTGAGCATGTAGAGATTAAGGAGCGTGATTTCAGGGACTGTCACTCATTTACTAGCGTAGAAGAAAACATGGGATGGATATGATATGCTATTCTTCATCCATAGTGTTACATAAGGTCACAGGACTGTTTTGATTCTCCTCTTTTTGTGCAACGGTCTCATCCCACATCAAAACAATCAACAGAATTGAACATGATGCCAGGCTATTGTTGGGTACCGCAAACCCCATTCAGCACAATCTTTGTCAAATGAAATTGCTTCAAGGTGGTTGTGATCAGTGAACAGAGTGAAAGATGTGTTTACTGCCAGGCTTGCGTTGAGTAATCAATCAGCCTTGTTGTTTTGTTCATGTTCAATCCTTATGGGGGAGTTTTTCCACCACTGCTCCAACAGCACACCAGCAAAAGGGTACAAGAGAGTTTTTTGGAAATGGTCTGATATTTAAGGTAGTTTGACTAATTATTTTCTCACCCACATTCCCCAATGACCCGCCCTACTCTGCCTCTGATTGGCTAAGACTTTATGCCTTCCATACAGAATTAGTTAAGTTTATTGCTGATGAACAAGATTGGTAGGAAGTCGGTAGAGTTGATGATTTCAACTCAGATGTGGATGTTTTCATAGTGATAGCAGCCTCATTTTCATAGTGATATCAGCCTATCATAGTGATAGGGCTCTCATAGATAATTACAATATCATTTTTTGGAATGATGCTATGCACCTTTCCTTATGGATGGAATAAATTACAGATGCATTAGGGATTCAAATTTTGATGTAGTGTCATAATAAAAGTTTATGTTCAATGCTCAATGTTGATATGACACATTGATTAACAAGAGACTTATTGAGCATCCATTTATCAGGTGGACTCAAACATGACTCCAAAGGGATGCTAATGTTGCTCCATATCTGCTGGATGTGCAAATAAGCAACATTTTGCTAACAAGTTCACTATATCAACATAAAGTTCACTATATCAACTTAAAGTTCACTATATCAACTTAAAGTTCACTATATCAACTTAAAGGGTGGTGATGTTGTTTTTTACAGGTTGTTTCCACTGCCCCCAAGTGGCCAAAACAGTATTGCAGGCGCAGGATGGATCAACCTTAATTCATTCTAGATTAGACACGTCATAAATATTATCTGGGCATATATATCTTTTGCTCAATTTCTTTCTTTCTGCAGGGTCCACCTGGACCACCTGGACCCCCAGGCTCTTCAGGGGAAAAGGTAAGGACTTAATCATGAAATTATATATTATATATAATAGATACCGCCCAAGCCTTAGGATCTCTGTAATCATACCAGTGCACTCCCACCAGCTAATAATGGGGCTATGTGATAAATCGAATTAGATTGTGTGTTAAACCTGAGTTTGTGTTAAAGTCATATTCATCAAATGAATCTTTTCTCTGTTTGTCATCTTCCAGGGTGAGCTTGGTTTACCTGGGCCAGAGGGAGTCGATGGGGAGAAGGTATGGTTGCAAAATTACACACTGGCGGACTGAATGTCTTCTACCATTGTTTGTGTTTATTGTTGAACTGACTCACAATGCTTTGTCTTCAGGGACCTAGAGGTGACATAGGTGAGACAGGACCAGCTGGCGAGATTGGAGAGAAGGGAGAGATGGGACTCTCTGGGCCCGCTGTAAGTAGTAAACATGTTTCTCTGACACACAAACAGTGGAAAGTACATAAACAGCTGGGAGTTCATCTTGCTTTTTGTGGGTCAGGGTATGGACGGACACAAAGGAGAGAAAGGCGACTGCAGAATAGAAGATAACCTGGTTAGTGAAGCACACATGCAATACAACATTCCCTCATGTGTGTGTATCAGATCAGTGCAGACAACGGCTTAAAGGACTTTACTAGTAATTGGGTGTGTTTTAGCCCATTTGTTACCATTTTGTAAATCTCTGACTTTTCTAATTGTGATGGTTTCTTCAGGTTCAGATGATTTCGCAACCAGGCCCACCTGGCCCACCAGGGGTTCCCGGGTCCCCTGGATCTATGGTGAGTACTTATAATCTCTTTCCAAATCCAGGTAGAAAATGTTCAAGTCAAGTTTGTTGTTTGCATCTGTAGCTGTCGCACTCACTCACACGTGTTTTTCAGGGGCTGCATGGTATGCCTGGTCCTAAGGTAAGACTGCAAGATCATAGTATGTGGTAAAGGCTTTGACATGTTGTTGGGTGCTCAGTGTTCCTGTCCTTCTAATGCAGGGTGAGCCTGGATTCGGGATAAAGGGAGAGAAAGGGGAATATGGTGCTCCTGGACTCAGAGTAAGCAACCCATTTTTATCATAATAAAACATGCTAAACCTAGACATGACACAGTGATGATAATGTACTTTTTAACTGCAGGGATTAGACGGTCCCCAGGGCACAACTGGGTCTGCAGGGTTAGTGGGTCTTCCAGGTGCGAAGGGAGAAAAAGTAAGCACCTGATCACCTCCCTTAATGTCTAAACTAAATTGTCTTCAATAAAACATTCATCATGATTTGTATATCTGTGAATGTGTGTTTGCAGGGCAGATCAGGGGAGCCTGGACTAGACGTGAGTGTCTCGCTAGGAATCGATCTTGATATTTTCAATTTGATCATTTTCAATTGAATTTAACTTGAATCTGTGTCCAGTGATAACTTGCCGTCTGACCCGTATGTGCTTCCCGTATTATCTCCAGGGTTTCCCGGGTGTGATGGGAGGGAAAGGTGAACGAGGCGAAAGAGGAGACAAGGTTAGTTCAGAACGCAAAAATATATATTTCATTATTTTTATTAAAATACTACCAATTCAATATTTTATCCTCAATGTTTTCCCCCCTTCCTCCTCACGTTCAGGGTGACCGAGGATCAGTGGGAAAGAGGGGTCTAAAGGGCCAGAAGGGAGAGCAGGGTCCTCCAGGCCTGGACCAGCCCTGTCCTGTGGTATGTCACATCCACACACACACACACACACACACACACACACACTGTAATACTGCACATTAGAACTTTCCTCTCACCTTATACAGTACTTCCCTGCTCTCTTCTCTCAACACTGTTTCTGTCATTTCCTCTGTGTTTCTCTGAGTTTCCTCCTCAATGCTGTGAATGTGTAACTGGCTCTTGCTGACAGGGTTGCGATGAGATTAAAGATGTGTCTAAGGAGGAAGGGCTTTCTTCTCCTCCATCTCCTCCTCTTCCTCCTTCCGGCCCTGAGGCCCCCTGTCCTGTGGTACAGTATCCCTATCTCCTTCCTCCTCCTCCTCTTGCATAACTATTTTTGCATCTTGCTATTTTCTATTCAATCTCTCAAACTCTGTTATGCATGTTCTGTTAGTCACAAACTCATACTTCATTATCTCTAGTTCAGTATTGGAGGGGTATTCAGTTGGTTGCAATCTGCAACCACACAGCTATATGCCACAAAATCCTACACACTGTCCCTTTAAGAGCCAGGCTAGCTGTTGCCCCTTGGTACCAGTCTTTATACTAAGCTAACAGCTACAAGTAGTAGCCTGATATTTAACATCTAGATAGATAAAGATATGAGAGTGGTATCAATCTTAATCTAAATCTCTGCCAGAAAGCAAATACAAATAATTCCCAAATTGCTCCCCAAAATGTCAACTATGCCTTTAAATAAAAGAGGATAGAAACAAATGTGAATTAACTTAATTAAGTCTTCCGTTTTTTATTATTCTCATTTGGCTGAATTTTGTATTTTTTAGAGCTCAGCCTCCACCTTTGCTTTATTTTACAACATCAGTTTGCTGATGGACACCTTGGACATTCTCACAGTTGTTGCATGACTGTAAGGTGTGTTTAAGGACACATCACATGACATTTTCCACCTTGTAAACATTCCACTGCTGTTCTTTGTCTGCAGGGACAGGATGGGCTGCCCATACCAGGCTGCTGGCACAAGGTCAGTGTTAAGAGGTTATTTTCAAAACGTGTTGTTAACTAATTGAAGGAGTGGCATTACATTTTGAGACAGCAGATGGCACAGTCAGGGAGTAGTAAAAAGCTAACACGATGTGCAACCAACACATACAGTATATTAATACTCATAAAGTGTCAGCATTAAATTAATTGCTTGAATCTGATTTGATACAGGGGCATTTTGTAAGTATATTACAGTGTGTGAGCTTGTAATCATAAAGCATGAGTATTCAAGATCAATAGTTATTTATGTTTGGATTTTGATTTGATATGCCACTAATAATTAATCCCTACAATTCTTCTTTTGCAGTGATGACTAACCAGCAGCATGGAATCTGTACATATTGATATGGTATATATTGCAGTTGAATACTACACCAACAACCCACTCCCTTTTTTTTTCCTTTTTTCATAAAACATTTTATATAATATATTGAGATTTTTTTTAACAAGGACATTTTTTGAGTCTACAGTATTACAAAAACTTTTTTAAACTTTAGAGATCCAGTGTTGTTGAGAATGCAGCTGTGGTTTTGAAGAGAAGAAACTGAACTGGCAGTTGCACTCTTACTTTGAAGGACAGTCCAGATGACAGTGTTGGAGTGCCTTGACAGTCTAGCGGCCTCACTAACAAAGCCTGAGTTGCTGCCTGATTGTAATCATGACCGCTGTATGGACATAATGGTGTGTGCACTCACCCAGTCTCACGGATGCTTGGCTGGATGGACAGATCTCTTTGGGAGTGGCCGCTGGAGGAATGTGGGTCAGAACTCTCCTCTTCTCTCTCTGTTTTCTGAAAGGAGGCAATGGCGAGACAGAAGCTCAAACGCAAGCGTCTCTCTCAGCCCTGAATGGGCGTGGCGCCTGGTGGAGAAAGGACACTTAAACAGGCAGAGAGCACGAGGGGCAGATTGGCCTTTTATGAAGCAGAGTGAGCCATGTAATCCCTCAGTGACATACTGAACTCTTGGGAGGGGGGGGGGGGGGGGGGGGGGGGGGGGGGGGGGGCGACAGAGAACCCTGCATTTCCACACTCACCTGAGAAACAAAGACACACCTGCGGCAGATGATGTTGCACAATAGCTTCATAACCAGTCAAAGTTGTTTGGGAGTCACTGACGTCACTGGCACATAAGGAAGGATATACTGCACAGATACTTTGGACAAGTTGTGGTGATCTCTTGTATGGCTCTTTTGTAAAGGTTTTCACTATAATTCATGATCATAACAAAGCACAGTGTTGTTTAGCATCCTGACAGATTTATGCCTTCCTCACTGAAAGCTCAAACTAAAGTAGATTCATTTTCATTTGCGATAAGCAGCCTTTAACAGTATTTCCATTTGAACAAGCCACTCAGACAAGTCGGTGAGTCTACCTTTTTAAGACTTGCACTTGTGGCAGTGGTGACCTGTTTTCTTTTGTTATATTCTTACCAGCTTTTGTCCAGTTACATTTTGCATTCCTGTGCATTGCCATGTTTGTGGAATATATAGATGGTGAAACTTCAAGGCCAGATTTGAAGGAACTATTTACATTATTGGTAATAAACCAGTGTTTTTCTTGCCTTGACAAATAATTGCCAGTCAAATCATTTTTCTCTGTAATTTTGCTGCATTTTTAACTATGATCATTATCCTTTAATCACCGATGAAGACATGTTTGATTTACTGTTGCCAGTTTGCTCTGGAAAGTGTAAGTTCTTGCTGCTGACTTAAATGTGTGTTGTTTGTTTGATATTTTTGAATCGATATAATTATTTGGATTTAAGGACTAACAGACTAAAGTATGAAATTTAAATCAAATGTATACACAACCATTGTTTTCAAGGTCTCTTTTTCAGCAGTAGACGACAATGGTTTATAACTGTCAGTTATTTTGCATTTTGAGTGTGTGCTTTTTTTCAATTATCACAAAAAAGTTTCAAGTCTTTACTATCGGATGACTTTTACTGGTGTGTTTTGGTCTTTCAAATACATTTTTCTCAGATGGAATATTTCATTGGTGCTTGCTTATATACTTTAATGTACCCGTTTTAAAGCTATACTCTGCATATCCATTTGCAAAACCGCACACATGTCCACCGTAACACACGTATCATTGTTTAAAGGAATGTTGAATATAAAGAAAACTTGGGTTTACTGACTATTATCAAATATTTAGCTACATATATACAGGACAGAGATTACATGAATCATTATTTGGTCCTGTGGACATGGGCAGAAATACATACACATGAATGGAGAATTCTGGTTACGTTTCTTAGTCTACGTAGATATTAGTTTAACTTTTTGATACGATATGAATGGCATTCAGAAATGTATATTCTGGTCGAGCGCTAGGCGTGACGATCAATCATTTACAACATGTTCATTGTTCGTCTGGATATGAACGGGCGAATCAGAATGTTTTATTGGTGGATGATCTTCGTTCAACATACAGGTTGCTAAACATTGCTAATTCCAGTTCTGGCCCACAACCACAAACAGTTGTTTTTTTTCTAGTATGATTGTACACAAGATCTTCAAATTAATCAGAGGAACACAAATAGATGTATATGGATATTTGTTATTCCAATTAAGTACTTGTAGCAGAAGGATAGCAGTGTTGGTTCATAGTTCCTACTGAATCCAGAAAGCACACAGGACATTGGAAATGTTGACTTCCTCTTTGTCAATTTGTAAGTAAACATATCCACTAGCAGGCTCACATTATGTCTCAATGATATCGGCCACATGTCAGTGCAAAGTTGAATTACTGACGCCTCTCAATTTATGTCCATATCAGTGGGATAAATATGATGAACAGTCCCACTAAATGTTTTCCCTTTAGTAGGAGAGATCCGTAGACTACATCGAATATTACACCTATACTGCACCACTCATTTATAAAGTTAAAGGTATTTTAGAGACTTTTTCCATAAAAAAAATAAAAACCTGTCAATGAGTTGCATTTCATTAAGATACAATAGAATAGCTGGCATACAAACTTTATTTGAGAATCATAAAAATGTTTGTTGACTGAGAAGTTACAAGCAAAATGGTTTTAACTGTAAACACAGTTCTTAGCATAATTTCACTGGAAGTTGATGGTTATCTGCCACTTAACGTATAACATATGTGTTTATTTCTTTTGCAGATTCTATCAATTTCAGTTTTATTAAGGTGTGATGGAGTCAGTAAATGGCACAGTGTCTGAATACAGTTGTGTGTTTTAGTCATACTCAGTATCACAGTATTAGCTTGATTTTTTGTGAGAATGACTTTTGGTTGTGTATTTGGTCGAAAAGGAATTAAGCTATTTTGTAATTACTTGTATAAAAACGTACAACGTGAAATTTGGTCAACTAAACATGTAGACTGAAGTAAACTCTCCAGTTGTATGTTGTTTTTGTCCATTAAATCATAATCATGTAAAAATATTCAGTTTCATTCATTTAACATTAATATAATATTAAGATGTTCTGCCATCCCTACCTCATACTGCATGTATACACAATGCAATGAAAGAAAAAACAAAGAGGCTGTGCAAAATACACAAAGTAACACAATAGAGACATAATATAAAAAGAACAATACCAGAACATATGGTGTAATTTAAAGACATGCATGTAATACATATTTACACAAAGGCCAGCACACCGTGAGGGAAGGCAGCCCTGTGAGCTCTAGTTCATGCAATACGTTAGAAGAGACAGCAGCTTTCCTCACAGCCTCAGACTCTTGCAAGACTGAAAGCAACAGTTGAATGATTAACAGTGGAAATCTTTCTGACATTTCTAAAGTTTAACAATCTCTTAAAATATGTGACACAGTCTCCAGCCATAGCAGCTACTGTATGTGAGGCTGTGTTCAGGGACAGAAGTGCATTGAGCTAAATGCTAACATCACCAAGCGAACACGCTCACATTGGCAATGATACTATGCTGATGTTTAATCAGCACAAAACACAAGGTAAAGCTGAAGCTAATAGATGGGGCTGTTCTTGGTTTTGCAGGTAGGCCAATCACAAACCAAAGTATCGTAGAAATTATAATTTTGACCTGATAAAGACGCTATAGGAAAAGTCAGGGATCACCAAAGTTATTATATTTCATCCTGAGGGGAACATGTTTGTCTGTATCACATTAAATGGTTATCCACCTCAGAAATAATGCAGATAATGTTTCCATGAATGCATTCTGCTGAATGTGTTGATCAATCCCTTCCACCTTGATGTTGCTGTTGGTCTCTGAGGCCCGGCGGAAAGCTCCAAATCAAAAGCTAATGAAAGTACCTTGTTAGTTATTTAGTTCAAACTCTTACAACACTTGCAGAAAGTATCTTCTGGCTCAAATATGCCTGTAAGGGCAAATATTGGTGTGTTACCCAATAGGACATATTTACAAATTTCATCAAACAAATACAATCACAAATCATTCCCACATGCCCTCCATTGTTAGTTGAATGAGCTTGTTGTTTCCAAGTCGAAACATGTTGCACAAGTGGTTGCAGTTGATGAGGAAGAGAACATTGGATAAAAGGCATGCAACATTAACGTCTGCTTTAATTGTTTACAGCAACTCTGAATTTCCTGTTTTTAATTTGAAATAACAGCTTGTTTTAAATGAAGAAATTACCTTATCTTTGTCGTGCAATGTTCGTGACTTTTTTAAATTGATGCCACATGTTAAAGTCATGAACCATCATGGCATTATTCTATATCTATATTGCATGCATCATACATATGTTTGAACTGGAGGGTTTCTCCTCTCAAAAATGTATTGTTTAAATGAAATGCTGTTGTTAACATTATTTAAGTAATAGCATTCACAATTTTTAGTAAATACATCCAAAATGTGTTACTTTTATATTTTTATATATATATATTCTGTCTGGTTAACAACAATACGTTCAGATGTTGGTATTAATAAATAGTTAAAGATAGCCAATTTCTTTTTAAACAAATTTTGTTATATTTATATATTCATTGTTATATTTCAAGAATAATATGTACATTGGTGCATATTGTTCTAAAAAGATAATGAAAAACTACAACTATATTAAAATTAAAGTCTTAAAATAATTCAATATAAGCATTCACGTCAACATTCCATAACAAAGGGATGTAATTCTTAAACTAATTTATAATCCAAAGAGCGATTAAAAATTCATATTTGCATGCAAGAATGTGGCCTTTACCCATAATGATGACAGCATCA